GGCCTGGGTGGAGTGACAAAGCCACCACCCAAAGGCATCTCCACTCTACTCCCATGTACAGCAGAACCAAGCTGGGTGCACTTTCCCCAGAAAACAGACCCAAAAGTTCAGTGAAACATCCTCTTAGATAGATCTGTATACAAGGTCTCCTCCCTTTGTCTTTCAGTCTTTAGAAAATGCCACTGCTAAGTACCATCTCTAAAATCACTCCTTCCAGAAGTGTAATTTTTTAAGCAATAAAAGCAACCTCTTGTCTATGTTTTAAGCACAGGAGGACTTTCTGATTCTTATCCCTTGGATCACATCTGTAGGGCAGAGGTTCTTAAACTTTTTCCACTCATGACACCTTTCTGCCCAATGAAAATTTTATGTGACCCCGAGTATATAAGGTAAAAATTTCCCCTTGACATTAAGTCCAGATGCGTCAGATTCTGGGGGGTGGTGCTCATCTCCATTTTGAAGCTGAAGAACCAGCGTTGTCCATAGATGCCTCCAAGGTCATGTGGCCGGCATGACTGCATGGAGCGCCATTACCTTCCTGTCGAAGCGGTATCTATTGATCTACTCACATTTGCATTTTTTGAACTGCTAGATTCAAACATATCTCCCTTTATGATTCGGTGTGACTGTTAAGATCTTCTGGGGACAGCTGCTCTCAGTTCTGCCTCCATTGCAGATGGGGGCACGAGAGACAGGGCCTTCTCGGTGGTGGCCCTACGGCTGTGGAACTCCCTCCCCAGTGACATCAACAGCCCCCTCACTCTTAAGCTTAAGGAAAAAACTTAAGACCTGGCTATTCAAGCAAGCCTTTGGGGATTAATATTACCCATAAGTATGATGAAATTTGTATAAGAATGACGAAGCAATCGGTTTAATATTTATAAAGCTCAGTTGGTGCTAGACCTTTAATATGTTTTAATCATTTGAAAGATTATTTATAATTGATTTGTATGGGTTTTTACAGTTTTAATAATGTTTTATAGTTACTGTCAGAGTCTGGCAATGAATTATTGCCATAGTTTGTAAGCCGCCCTGAGTGCTCCCACCCCCCGGGGTGAGAAGGGTGGGGTATAAGTACAGTAAATAAATAAATAGTTTGGCAGAAGCTGGGGCTAACAGCGGGAGCTCACCCCACTCCCCGATTTGAACCGCCAACCTTTTGGTCAGCGAGTCCAGCAGCTCATCAGTTTAACCCGTTGCACCACCAGGGGCTCAAGTACATAATACAAGAATAAAAACCAAACATGTACTGATAATAAACCAGCATTTGCAAGGCTTACTAAACAGGCTGATTTTTCTCTTTGTGGAGTCCAGCTGAAGCAATTTCTGTAGAGTCCAATATAAACACTGCACCTTGTTGCTGAAAAGATTTGTGTAAATGTCAAGGTGGTGTTTGGAAACCTTTTCCATTTACCGAAAACATTTTTAGTGAGCCCAACACTGAGCGAGGGAGACCCCATTTGGGGCCAGGACCCAGTTTAAGAAGCAGTGCTGTAACAACAGAAGGCCAGAGCCACAGATCCTCTCCCACCCCTCCTTGTCTTTTGAGCACAAACGTTCAAGGTTGTTGTTGTTTTATAGGGTCCTTTGACGTCCTCAGCCTCGTAATCAGTGGAGGGCGAAAGGCACAACCACCACCCTTGTCAACTGCTCCTAGAATCTGTAATCTCTTTTCCTGCAATTAAGCGGTTTATGTGGGGAGGAAAGGGGAAAGAGAGACAGCAACTCCTCCTGAGTGGGCCGCATATTCAAAGGTAAGGGTAAAGGCTTCCCTTGACATTGATGTTGGACTCTGAGGGCTGGTGTTCATCTCCATTTCTAAGCGTTGTGCATAGACACCTCGAAGGTCATGTGGCCAGCATGACTGCATGGAAAACAGGTTACCTTCTTGCCAAAGTGGTACCTATTGATCTAGCATTTGCATGTTTTTGAGCTGCTAGGCTGGCAGTATATTAGCAAGTACCAAAAGAGAAAAAAAAAGGCCTAGGGAGGAATGGGGTGTGGAAGAGATTCCACTCAAGCGAGGAGCACATTTGGGCAGCAGAACAAGTTCGACCAGGATGGTTTTCTCCCCCCCCCCCCTTTTCAAAAAAACAAACAAACCCCAACCCATCACTCCTGGCTTCTAGTTCACCTGGGCAGAGGAAGCAGACGGTCTCCCATCCGTCCCTTTCGCCCTTGCTCCGCCCCAGGCGGCTAAGGGAGGCTGGGAGGCGCCTTCCACGGCTGCCCCGACTCCCAGAGGAAGCCCACCCGCTCCCCCTCCCTCCCCCTCCCCCTCCCTCCGATCTCCGCAGTGGCGCCACATTCCTCCACAGGCTCTGAAGTCTTCCCCCCTTCATCCTCCTCCCCCGCCCCTAAAGCACCCTAAATGCTGAGGATCCTAATGTGTAGAGAAGGCGAGGGCTCGGCGCCCTTCAGCCGCGCCCCTCCAAAGCAGCATTCAGCAAGCTAGCTCTCTCTCTCCTTCTCCCACCCCCGACCTGTCGAGCTGCCAGCCAGTAGCCCATTGGTCAGTGTGGCACAGGAAACTCAGGGTGGATCTATAATGCAGTTATAAACGAAAAGTCTCAGGTTTGAATCCAGGGAGCGGCGTGAGCTCCCGCTGTTAGCCCCAGCTTCTGCCGACCTAGCAGTTCGAAAACATGCCAGTGTGGGTAGATCAATAGGTACCACTTTGATGGGAAAGTAACGACACTCCATGTAGTCACGCCGGCCGCATGACCTTGGAGGTGTCTACGGACAACGCCGGCTCTTCGGCTTAGAAATGGAGATGAGCCCCCCCCCCCCCCCCGAGTCTAGACTTAATGTCAGGAGAAAACTTTTACCGAAAGCAGTTTTGATTCTGCATGATATGAGCACTGTAGTGGGGTACATCCATTCATTCTGACACACCACTTCGATGCTGTGGGATCACGGGAAGCGCGGTTTCAGAAAGTCCAAACTCAGCCTTCTCGGCTTCACCAAAAGGACACCCCCACCCCCGGGGATGCCACAACCTCGAGCCACAGAAGTGGGGTCCAGAAGGGTCCATTCTGGGTCAGAGACACCTTTGGGTTGCCCCTCCGCTGAAGAAGGAAGGCGTTGGGAGAGCCCACGCCTCCCTCTGGCCAAACTGTACCAAATCCTGGGTTGTTGTAGGTTTTTCGGGCTATATGGCCATGTTCTAGAAGCATTCTCTCCTGATGTTTCACCTGCATCTATGGCAGGCATCCTCAGAGGTCTTGATGTCACACATCACAACCTCTGAATGCCTGCCATAGATGCAGGCGAAACGTCAGGAGAGAATGCTTTTAGAACATGGCCATACAGTCCGAAAAACCTACAACAACCCAGTGATTCCAGCCATGAAAGGCTTCGACGATACATTGTACCAAATCCTCCAGCATGGAAGGGAGGGGGGAAGGGTCCAAACTGCGCTCGTCCTCCAGTGTAGATGAGGGCAAACACACCGGGCCGGAAAAGGCGCTCCCTTTTCGCACTCCACGCCCCAAACTGCCCTCGCAAAAGGCACAGACCCGGCATTGTGCTGCCCAAAGGAGAGGAAGAATCGGGTGACTGTGCTGGGAATAGCCGGGCGGGAGAGAGAGAGAGAGAGAGAAAGTGGGTGTCGTCGTCTGCTTTGGGGCAGGCCTTACCTGGAAGAATGTGCCCAAGGTAGAGAAGGGGCCCAGGTGGTGCAATGGGTTAAACCCTTGGGCTGGCAGAACTGAAGACCCACAGGTCGCAGGTTCTAATCCGGGGAGAGCGTGGATGAGCTCCCTCTGCTAGCTCCAACTCCTCATGCGGGGACATGAGAGAAGCCTCCCACTAGGATGGTAAAAACATCAAAAACATCCGGGCATCCCTTGGGCAACGTCCTTGCAGACGGCCAATTCTCTCGCACCAGAAACGACTTGCAGTTTCTCAAGTCGCTCTTGACACGAAAAAAATGACAGCAGGACGACCGAAGTGATCAAGACCGATGTGGGGTAACTCCAGGGTGAGGACTTGCTCCACGGGGGGAGGGGGCTCCTCTAAGAAATGAACCTCTAAGAAAGGGGTTGAAACTGCCTTCAAACAGCAGGCCATTCAATGCTAAGCAAGGTGACCAATTGCAACATTCACACGTACCTCCAAGCAGACAAGAGTTCTTTCTCCCACCCTGGGCATTCCACAGATATATAAACCTCACTTAAGTTTCCAGCAGACCCCTCAACCTCTGCCATAAATGTAGGTGAAACGTCAGGAGAGAATGCTTCTGGAACATGGGCATACAGCCTGGAAAACTCACAGCAACCCAACCCCATTGGGCCCTTCCACAGAGCCCTATATCTCAGAAAATCCCACATTAGGCTCAGATAACCCAGCTCAAAGCAGATATTGTGGGATTTCCTGCCTTGATATTCTGCGTGGAAGGGCGCTTAGAAACTCCACAGTCTGGGGCGAGGGGTTATTTCTCCCCACAAGGGAAGGAAGGGGCCTCTCCAAAAACCACGCATTGTATGCTCAGCGTGGACTTGCTTCCTGCAGTGTGGGCTCCTCTCCTGCACTGACCACACAACTCATACAACGGCGTGGAAGGGACTCCATGATGTGGGTCTGCACTGCATGATTTGGGCCCGAGTCCGCCTCCTTTCCTTTCCCCTCCCCTTCCTTCTCCTCCGCCCAAGATTCCCTCTTCGTCGGCAATTTCGCACCGGACGCAGGGAACACCCTGATTTTTCCACGCCTCGTTCGCGCCCAGCCCGGGGAAATCACACTTCCCTGAAGCGGAAAGCCCGGGACGAAGGCGGTTCGTGAAGCAGGGCTTGGCTGCTGCTGTTGTTTGTCCCTCCCGAGGCGGGCCTCTCCTTCCTTCCTCCCTCCCTCCCTGCGTCCCCACCCGGCCTCCCTCCAGGACAGGAATCGAGTCTCTGCCGCAACCTCCCCGCCCTGGCTTCCCCTCCCATCATCCCCAAACGCGGAGAGCCCACAAGTCAAGCAAGAGAAAGGGGGATTGGGGAGCCTCCCCGGCTTACTTGGGCTCTGGGAGACGAAGAGGGCGACCCGCCCAGCCGCTGCCCAACTTCACGGCCCCAGAAGAGAAGCTGAGCCGCTTCACGCGCTGCTGCTGCTCCCGCTGCCGCTGCCTTTCCTCCGCCTCCAGTCCTCTAGTCTGCCACAGGCTGGGGAAAACCCCTGGATTTCCATAGAGGAGGAGGAGGAGGAGGAGGAGGAGGAGGAAGGGGGCGGGAAGGCGGAGGACAAGGAGGAGGGGAGAGCAGAGGAGAAGAGAGGGCGCCTGGGAGGAAGCGCCGCGCTTTCGGACCGCAGCTCTCCTCCGCTCCGAGTTTGGGAGGAGAAAGGAAAGGAAAGGCTGGCTCCTCTTGGGTTTCCTTCAAACTCCGCGAAGCCGCAGCGCCGTGGGTCCCCCCGCCTGTCCCCCTCCCCGCCTCTCTCTCTCTCTCTCCCTTTTCAAACCCAGCCTTTCCCCAAGCGGAGTCCCGCCTGCTTGGAGGAAAAGCTCGTCATGGCAACGCAGCAGCCAAGCCCTGCCACAGACTCAGCCCCGTCCTCCGCAAAAGGGAGGCAGCGAGGCTGTTAAGGTGGTTTCGCGCTCAACCGACTCCTGGTTGTGCCTGGCTTCCCTTTTAAGGGGGAAAGGAGGAGATGGCGGCGCCTCGAGGGGAGCCCAGGTGAAAGGAAGGGAAGGGGGAAAACAACCCTCTTGGAGGCTTAGAAGAACACAAGTTGTGGGACGCAGCAACTAAAAAAGCCAATGGGGTTTTACATCAAAAGAAGTGTAGTCTCTAAAAAAAGCCAATGGGATTTTGGCCTGCATCAATAGTCTAGTGTCAAGATCCAGGGGAGTCATACTACCCCTCCATTCTGCCTTGGTTAGACCGCACCTGGAATACTGTGTCCAGTTCCGGGCACCACCATTGAAGCAAGATATTGACAAGCTGGAATGTGTCCAGAAGAGGGCGAGTAACATGATCAAGCGTCTGGAGAACAAGCTCTATGAGGAGTGGCTTAAAGAGCTGGACATGTTTAGCCTGAAGAAGAGAAGGATGAGAGTAGACATGATAGCTATGTATAAATATGTGAGAAGAAGGGAGGAGGGAACAAGCTTGCTTTCTGCTTCCCTGGAGAATAGGACGCAGAACAATGGCTTCAAACTACAAGAAAGGAGATTCCATCTGAACATGAGGAAAAATTTCCTGACTGTGAGAGTTGTTCAGCAGTGGAACTTTCTGCCCCAGAGTGTGGTGAAGGCTCCTCCTTTGGAGACTTTTAAACAGAGGCTGGATAGCCATCTGTCAGGGGTGCTTTGAATGCAATTTTCCTGCTTCTTGGCAGGGGGTTGGACTGGATGGCCCATGAGGTCTCTTCCAAATCTATGATTCTATGATTCAGTGGTTCCCAAATTTGTTCTTAAGTTGAATTTGTATGTAAGTCAGAACAGGTACATTTTAAAGTGTAACTCCAGCCAAATATATATACTTTATGTACAAGCTTTGGATAGCACAGAGAAGTGTTAACACCCTTGTAGTGTTTGTTTTGCTGTCTGTGTCCCTGTTCAGAAGATATTACCTCACTTTCTGTCTCTGTGATAATTGGATTTTGAAATTTGTCTTCTGGAAACAAGGATTTGTGAGAAAGCATCAGCAGAGAACACCCCAGCAAGTGAGAGTTCAAAAGTGGCAGGCTCAAACCCAGAACCTCAACCAATGGCTGATACCAAATGAGAGACTCCCCCTGGGCACACAGAAAACTGGGCAACTTGGAAGGCGCTGAACAGACTGCGCTCTGGCACCACGAGATGCAGAGCCAATCTTAAGAAATGGGGCTACAAAGTGGATTTTGAAATTTGTCTTCTGGAAACAAGGATTTGTGAGAAAGCATCAGCAGAGAACACCCCAGCAAGCAAGAGTTCAAAAGTGGCAGGCTCAAACCCAGAACCTCAACCAATGGCTGATACCAAATGAGAGACTCCCCTGGGCACACAGAAAACTGGGCAACTTGGAAGGCACTGAACAGACTGCGCTCTGGCACCACGAGATGCAGAGCCAATCTTAAGAAATGGGGCTACAAAGTGGAATCCGCGACATGCGAGTGTGGAGAGGAGCAAACCACTGACCACCTGCTGCAATGCAACCTGAGCCCTGCTACATGCACAATGGAGGACCTCCTTGTGGCAACACCAGAGGCACTCCAAGTGGCCAGATACTGGTCAAAGGACATTTAATCAACTAACAAGCTTGCAAACTTTGTGTTTTGTCTGTCTGTCTGTTTGTTTTGTTAAAAATGTAATACAAATGTCTGGTTGCTGATGACACAATAAATAAATAATTATCAGCAGAGATATCCCTATGATAACTCTTTCAGAAGTGAATTTCCTTTCTGAGGGTGAGATTTCTCTCACTTCTTGTCTCACCCACATTCCTAATTATGAGTCATTTGTAAGTCAGATGTTTGTAACATGGGGACTACCTGTACAGTAGAATCTCACTTATCCAACATAAATGGGCTGGCAGAATGTTGGATAAGCAAAAATGTTGGATAATAAGAAGGGATTAAGGAAAAGCCTATGAAATGTCAAATTACATTACAGTGGTCCCTTGCCCTCTTTACCTTCCTCTTCCTCCTCCTCATTGCTGCCTGGGCCTCTTGCCGCTGCTTGGGCCCTGCAATTGAGGAGGTGTCGCGAGACCCAAGCAGTGGTAAGAGGCCCAGGCAGCAATGAGAAGGAAGAAGAGGAAGGTAAAGAGGGCAAGGAGGGAAGAAGAGCTGCCCCCTTGCCCTTTTTACCTTCCTCCTCCTCCTCCTCCTCACCACCTGGGCCTCTTGCTGCCGCTTGGGCCCTGCGATTGAGGAGGCAGCGGAGGTGTTGCAGGGCCCAAGCAGTGATAAGAGGCCAGATGGTGACAAGGAGGAGGCAGAAGAAGGTAAAGAGGGCGAGGAGGGAAGGGGAGGTGGTGTCCCTACTTCACGGAATTACACTTATTGTGAATGGTCCTGGAACATAACACCTGCAATAAGCGAGGGACCACTGTATGATTTTACAAATTAAACATCAAAACATCATGCTTTACAACAAATCAACAGAAAACGCCGTTCAGTACACAGTAACATTATGTAGTAATTACCGTATTGACCAATTTAGCACCAAAACAGGCAAGGGTTCTTTCTTTCTCCCACCCTGGTCATTATTCCACAAGTAAACATACACTCCATTTTCCTCACCTGTGAATCCCTGTGGGTGGCAGACTGCGTTGGTTAATACAGAACTTTGGATACGCGAAGGTTGGATAAGCGAGACTCTACTGTAATTCTTATTCAAAAAGTAAATTCCTATTCACACGGAGGAAGCCTAAAAGGCCATTAACTTGGTCTAAACAAGCTTCCAAAGAACATGACATTCGTGAAAGAGAAAAATAAAAGAACAGAATGACAGTTGAACTTCTGAGGAAGAAAACACTACAACATTTTTAAAATGTGTATGTCACAATATATACTTATATAGTGTATATATGAGGCCCCCATTGGCGCGGTGGGTTAAAACACTGAGCTGCTGAACTTGCTGACAAAGGCTGGTGGTCCAAATCCAGGGAGTGGTGTGAGCTCCCACTATTATCCCCAGCTTCTGCCAATCTAACAGTTCAAAAACATGCAGATGTGAGTAGATCAATAGGTACTGCTACGATGGGAAGGTAACAGCGCTCCAGGCTGGCTGCATGACCTCATAGGTGTTTACGGACAATGCCAGCTCTTCAGCTTAGAAATTGAGATAAGCACCACTACCCAGAGTGGGACACAACTAGACTTTCTGTCGGGAAAACCTTTATTATACAAGGCCCTTAGACAATGCAAAACATTCACTGTTATTAACTCATACTCGAATAGCTCCGTTTAAAAGTCAAATTGCCCCCCTGTGGGGCATGTTCCCCATGTTGGAAACCAAGCCTCTAGATCAAGGGAAGTTGTGGTGTCCCTCTATTCCGCTTTAGTCAGACTTCACCTGGAATACTGTGTCCCGTTCTGATCACCACCATTCAAGAAGGATATTGACAAGCTGAATGTGTCCCGAGGAAAACACTTAAAATGATCAAATGTCTGGAGCAATGCCCTATTAGGAGTGGTTTTAAAACTTGGCATGTTTAGCCTGCAGAAGAGAAGGTTGAGAAGAGTTAAGATAGCCATGTTTGAACATTTGAAAGGATGTCACAAGAAAGAGGGAGTGGGCTCGTTTTCTGCTGCCCTGGAAACTAACAACCTCATAATTTGAGGCTATTTTCGGTGGGATACTCCAGTTCCTCTGCAGTTTTGCGACTGAGTCTGTCAGATCCCACCACATGACTTAGAAGCAGTTCTGGCGGGGCTCCGTCACAAAACCGAAGAGGAAGCAGCATATGCCGCCAATGTGTCAACATGGGAGGCTCTTGTGTTGCATTGGGATCAACGGGGAAGTTGGGTGGCAAGCACTTCCCCCCATAGGATGAGGTAGGGGGGAAGTTGGGTGATGCAGGTTGTGGGGCAACGGATACCCCCTGCTGGGCAATGTCAGATTCACCATGATCTGTGGCAATTTCGGCAGCATATATGATGAAGTCATAGGATTCCAGGTAATGGGTTGAAGTTATAGGAAAGGAGATTCCTCCTGAACATTAGGAAGAGCTTTCTGACTGTAGGAGCTTTTCAGCAGTGAAACTCCACCAGTGATGGCTTCTTCTTTGGAGGATTTTAAACAGAGGCTGTGTTATCGAAACACCAGGATCCCTAAGTCACCAATAGTTGCATAAGCACTACACACACACCCCACACTGCAGGGCAGGGCTCAACATTAAGAATAACCCTACTCCCTTCACAATGCCCTGGAACTCAGAAAGAGCCACAGGGTTCTTTCCAGATTTTATCTCAGTATTTTCCTGGGAACATTTCCTCATCCCGATTGACAGATCAGATCCCCTCCCTGGGAATCCCATTCAAAGTGTGCCAACATACTCAGCACTCATTGTATGGTCAGTCAAAACCCATTGTCCTGTTCTGGCCAGACAGGAGCAGAGCCATCAAATCCCATTACCTCTGATTCACCCATATTCTTTCCTCCCTACTGTCATGAAAGGTGGAATGAGAAACAGACACAAGACTTCAAACTGAGCAATGACAATTTATTAAATTTCTTGCATACCTGGGGGCAATAAACAATTACGCAGGATGGCACTCCTAGTCCTTTCAGGGAGCAGATACGAGCTGGTCACAATCTTGACCGATGTCGAATGCTATAAATATTTCTGTATGTTTACACTGAGTTATGTCAGTCTTTGGAGTGCAGACTTTGCTGACAGACTCTTCTGACCAAAGGAGAATAAAGCCTTCATCCTGTCTCTGTTTTGTTTGGTCCTTTGGGGAACTTGACACACTGGACTTCTGAACCTATGGACTTTTGAACCTGTGATACT